TTTTTTTTTTTTTAGAATAAAATAGCTCTGACATCTTTTGGTTTGCTTTTGTTATGGGGACTGAAGGAAATAAGGATTGAAGTTGCTGAAAGGCTTCATCTGGACAGTAACCCCCTGAAGTGGAGTGTGGCAGATGTTGTTCGGTTCATCAGATCCACCGACTGTGCTCCATTAGCAAGAATATTTCTAGACCAGGTAATTTTAGAGACCTTTGATTTTCGTTAATTTGTCTCTTTTGCAAAGGACTATGGATGTAACAGCAATTTATTTACAAGTCGGAAGAAAAATATTTCTATCCAAAAGGAAAGAAATGTATTTCCTCTTTTACGAGTAGTAGAAAGATGATTTTAAAAGGCTATTGAGCTGACTTGTTCCACAGTTGAAACAGATTATCATTGCATTGCCATTTTTCCTAAGACTTTGTTTCCATCCCCCAAATGTTTAAATGGCTTAAAATCAAGCATGCCATGCTTAATTGTGCTCTTCTTTTCCAAAAGAATGACTTGCTTGTTTTTAAAAATAATTAACATCTATAATGTGTTAGAATCTAAAGTGGTGATCAGTTTAGAGGCAAGTTTTCTGAAACGAATAATCTGTGACCTTAAATAAATACTAAATTAAATTTTGTTTGGATAATTGGGGAGATTCCAAACTGAACATGTTTGAAGAGCTCATCAGCCTTTTATGAATGTTACAGAGTAGGAAAATGTTGAAATTTATAATTAATATTTTCTTTCAGTTTTAGAAAGAGTTCTCTAAAGAGATGTTTCTTTGGCACATCTAGTTGCCAGTTACAAAACTAGTTTGTTTATTGAATTTCTGCAGAGCAAAAAGTGTAGAATAGTTTCTTATCCTTGGTAAAAGTTTGTCATTAATTCTGAAGACTCATTAGTATGGAGGACTGTGAGGGGCACTTAGGAGAAACTGTGTGATACTTGTTTAAAGGGGAAAAATTATAAAGGAAAGCACAGGGACTCTGATTTTGACACAAGCCAAAGTGAACAAGGGGCTGACTTGATGGAGCTGCCATCCATGTGCACATCATAGATAATTTGTATTTTATGCCTTAACAGGAAATTGATGGGCAGGCCCTATTGCTCCTTACCCTTCCCACTGTTCAAGAATGCATGGACTTAAAATTGGGCCCTGCCATCAAACTTTGCCATCACATAGAGAGGATCAAGTTTGCTTTCTATGAGCAGTTTGCCAACTGAGAAGGACAACCAAAGTGAGCTGTGTCTTTGAAGCACAAATGCAGCGAATCCTTCTCCCCACTCTACAAGTGGCACTGACACGGTCCTGGGGCTCCGGGCCCTGCAGACGTCGGCTTGCTCTCTTTGCACTTTCAGGGAAGGAGGACCCACACTGAGGAAGCAAACACTGCACAGAAGTGGCTCTCCTGCCAGTGGAAATGTGGGCATCTGTTGGTCAGCAGATTGCAGTTTTAAAAAAAATAAAGGTTGTGAAGAAAAGACTCCTGTAAGAAGAATAAGCATTTCCAGTGGTGTGGCCTGAAAACAAAGAATAATCTAGGCTGCTGGAAAGCATCCTTATGGTTGTTTTCTTTTTGTTCTGTTCCTTCCCATTGTAGAGTGAACTTTGTTCTCTGCTTTCCCTTTCTTGGAAAGAGAGGACATAGCTTTAAGTCAGCACTGATTTGGGACTGTGCCTAAGGCACATCAGTGCTTCATTGTCATTGTGTTTTTAAGCTTTTTTAAATTAAAACAGTTCATTTTGGGGATGATTACGTGGCTCTAGGGTTTTGAATGTACAGTCACACTTTGATCCATTTTAAAAGCTATTCTTAGGAGTTCCTTTGTTTACTACCTCTGTTGATGATTGAGCTTACAGCCATGTATAAGGTTTTTTGTATGATGCCATTTTTAAGCAACATGAACACTAAATCTATGACAGAACCTGGAGGGGGAAAAAAAACACTGCTTAAAAATCACATGCGAGCACTTACACAGTTCCTGACCTGATGTGAGAACCCTACTGTCATTGTTCCCTGTCTGGAGCCAGCGTGGGCTCCCGGTTTTAGGTGGTCTCTCAGAGATTGTGGGCATTTCCATTTAGTTGCTCTCTTCCTGTCAGTTCTCAGAGGGACTTCAGTGGCTTTTATTTTATGTTTACTTTTCTCTACAGTTGTCTGTTTCCTTTCTAGAGTCCTCACTTTGGGTAAAAATCAGTAGGTGTTCCTTGGACCTACAGTAAGCCCATCTCCCTTTCTTTCTTGGGGTCCCCAGCAGATAGAGTAGAAGTACAAGAGAAAAAATGTTTCAGGGGGTGATGCAGAGCACGGAGTTTCTGTAAAACTGTGTCCTCATATCCTCAGTGGCTGCACAAAGATTGAGAGGTGGTTAAGGATTCTGGAAACCTCTTTGCCTAGTCACATTTACATGTCTTTTTGGTTAAACCTTTAAATGGCATGTAATCTACAAGCTGAAGGTTCCCACTCAGCAGTTCAACAACTTGGTTTTCTTTTCGGTGTTTCTCTTGGCCCGGCTCAAGTTGACATGAAACTACAGGCGAATTTTCACTTAAGACAGCACTGCTAGCTACTATTAAGTAATAGCATTTGCTGTACCATTCCAGCTGAGACGAATGAGGAAACACACACACGTAGATTGCTTCCTTTAAGTGGTTTGCATTGCTGAATGTTTTGTTTTTTAATTATCCTAGTCACCCACAAATTTATAACCTAATCACTCATCTTTAGGATATAAAAATGTTTTAAAACTAGAAAACTGAGTAAATTCTCAACAGCTATACAAATATAAGGTAATACTATTACAGATTTAAACGGACTGTGATACTTCCCTTTTCTTCCTCTCCCCCATCCACACCAGTTTATAGACATTGGCAGACATTCTGTGGTCTGCACCCCTATCTTCATTGGATCATTTATGAACCACCTTAACTCAAGCCTCCAACCAAATCATATATTAAAGCATCCACTCTTTGCTTAGGTTAGCACCATGTAGACCTGGAAAGAAGCTTCATTTAAATAAAAATTAATATGTTGGAACTTACTCAGAGATCCAAGTTTAAAAAATGTAATTAATTCTGTGCCCATGGAAGAGAAACTTTTATATATATACATATACACACACACACTAATTGTTATATATATAACAATTATAGTATATATATATGTATATACTATATATATAGTGTGTATATACATATATATATATATATG